CAATTTGCTATTTATTTCATTCACAGTATTCTTTACTGTTGTTATCTCAGTTATCAATGCCTTCCTATTTTCCTCGTCTCTCCTCAATTCTTTTTATTCTCTCTATTAATGTCTGGGTATCTGGGTTTGTAGTTTGAGATCAGTCAGTCTGGGGGTTCTTCATTGTTTGCGTTCCTAAGTCTGTTTTCTCAGTGTCTGATCTCCCAGGGGTCTGAGACCCATATTCTTCTTTTGGTTTTTCTTCATTTATGTAGATTTTCCTCCCCCCACCTTTCCCCCTCCCCCCTTCTTTAATTCTGTTGTTCAGGGATGGTGGGGTTGCTTTTACTTCTGTTTGCTCAGTCTCCTAGTCTTCCTTATGTGGATCCTCTGGCTTTGTTCAATTCTAAAGCTGGACTGTGGGTTGGGGCTGTACTTTTTGCAGTTTTGAGATTTAACTGAGTGGGGAACTGTGATTTAAAAAATCTATCTACAGATCCCAGTATCCACCAACAGGTGTATGGCCACCCTGGAACCCACTTCCCACTGCCTTACAATCTGTCCATACAGTGGGGGTATAGGTTTGCTCCCTGGAAACAAAATGAGGTAAGAAAAAGGAAAAGAATGGAAAAAGGAAGGGGGGTGGCAAGAGGAAGGTGGAGAGAGAGGACTAAGAGGGAAAACAGACAGACATACCAACTAACAAATGAGAAGAGACATAAAGACAGAAAAGAGTAAAAAAAAAAAACCTAAAGCATACAGATAATCATACAAACACACAGTCCAACAAAAACCTGCCTATAGATGCTCTCTTCCTATGCACAAACAGGAAGTCTAAAGAATAGAAAAAAAAAAATCAGTAAAATAACAAACAAAGCAAGTATGAAAACGTTATCAAAAACAGAAAGAGAAAAAAACTAAAACAAAAATGAGCAAAATAAAAACAAGGAATCAAATTCACTCTGAGGTCGTTCCTATAAGTCCAACATCCTTTCAGCTCTGATCTCTAGCCCCTCCCCTCTGCTCTCAGTGCAGGCAGATAGGGTTGCTCACAGCTTGGGTCAGATGCCCAAGCCTACTTTAGAAGGAGGGTGGATCAGATCTGGACTCACCCAACTTGCTGCCTGTCAGGTCTGTCACTCAGATCTGTCCTGTCTGTGTCTGATCCAGCACATTATCAAAAACAGAAAGAAAGAAAAAAAAAAAACTAAGCCAGCTTCTGTCTCTCCCAGTTTGATGAGATTACCTTAGGTCCCAAGTTGGAGGCTGGGTGGAGCTGGAAGGAGCAACGCAGGTCTCTGCCTGGTCCTGGGACAGAGAAAATGACTGTGGTGGGTGTCTCCTCACCAGGCATGGGGCTGCTCTCTGGCTCTCCCCATCCTCTCTCACCAGCTGATCCACTCTAATAAATGATGGTGTGGGCCAGGCGCCAGGCGATGAGAATCAGCTGGATTCGGCAGGCTCTTCTCAATAGTGTCCTGTGATCTTGCACCCCCGCTCCAAACTCAGAGCGGTAGGGGTTTACAGTCACACTCAGAGGGGTTGCTGGGTGCATGAACCCGAGTCTCCCCTCAGACGAACTTTCACTCTCCTACCAGCGCATGCCCACTCACACAGAGAATCTTTATAGTTACTTGCTTTTGCAAAGACTCTCACGGTCCTACCTGTCCAATTGCCATCTTAAACTCCACCCCTCACATATCATCTTTAAACTCAAAATAAAAGTTATGTTTAATCTTTTAAAAAATTAAGAAATATGCTAAAGGCATTTGAAAAAAGTTTTTTTCATTAGCAGTCCCCCTCTAAGTTTTTATTTGTGACTTTAGCCAACTTTGTTCCATGAAACGAACTTAGGCAAGTGATTAATGGAATCATTCAGAGATTGGCATACTATAGCCAGTGGACCAAATCCAAGCTTCATTTTTAAAGAGGTTGTTAAAAGGGGGGAAAAAAAAAAGAGTATGTGACACAGTCTCTGCCTGGTCCTGCAAAGTCTACAGTATTTACTACCAGGCCTTTTATAGAAGTTTGCCAGCCTCTGGAATATCCAAACACTCTAAATTGATGAATACAACTTAAGGAGGCTTGACTTTCACAATGTAAATATGGAAGTGTTTTTCTACTCCACTCGTGGAGTAACTAACTTACAGAGCAATCAAATGGCAAGTTAGATCTCAATGTTTACTGGTGTTGGAACTGAGTATTCTTGGCTTTGGCATGTACAAATATTATATTGCAAACATAGGCATGCAAGAAATAGAACTGATTTCTATGGTGACTTAATTTCTGTTTCTCATTCCGCTTGGGGAGCTGAAGCTGACATCAATGTGGGGTTTCCCTTGCTCTCAGGGTTGGGGCTGATTTTGAGAGGCATCTGGTTCCAAGTTGCCGGTGCTCATGAGGCTCGGGGCACCTGTCTTCCCACAGGTCGCAGCCCTACTGCCTGCCACCACCTCTCCTGCAGGACTCCTGGCCATTGCCTCCCAGCCTCTGTCCGAAGCCATCACACACTGAACAATCTATTACTTGCCATTGGGTTAGCATTTGCTCGTCTAGAGTCTTGGCCCTTTCCCAAGTTCAAGAAGACATTACACTTGGGCTCACTGCATCCTGTTAATATCCCTTTTATAGCATTTGTGGCATTATGATTTTCTTATTTTGAACTTATTTTCCCCCTGGCTTCTAAACACTTTTTGGAACTAAGCACCTTTTTGTATTCCGTGTATATGTCTGCATTTCATAGTCGTTTCTGATACACACCAGGCACCTGAGCATTGGTTCAAGTGAATAAATCACGATGACGATGACAGAAGCTTTCAGCTTGATTATAGTTTTGTCAGCATTTGAGTTATTATACTCATCAGAAGTAAACTTTCATTTCCCTTAAATTACTGTTACTAGGTGGACTAGTCTTTTCCTACACCGAGACTTTTTTGTGTGCATATATATACTTATTTATACAGATACACAAACATACATTTGAGGTTTTCAAAAATCTTCAGGGAAAAACAGCAGAAAGTGGCACTGGAACTGGTGAGGACAGTGGATATTATCAAGTTTAGTTAAGCTTCCCACTAAGTATTAGAATAAGGCTCAGACAGTCTGGTCCATCATAGATGCCAGTTGGATGTCACTGAATGAACTCTGTACAAGTATTTCTTTTAGATCCAAATTCTATCTTGGCCCATGGACACCCAGGGCTCTTGATATAGAAATGAGGCAGCTGGGTGCCTCTTCACGTCCTCATTGTTAATTTTGTTGCCTGCTAATCTATCAAAAATACGTCTTCTACACGCAACAGAGGAAACTGCTTCACACACGTGCTTATCAGAGAACTCAGTTGGGGCTTGGTGTCAGTCAGCAGCTTCTGTGTAGAGCTGGAGACATACGAGTCTACCCGGACCATGCAGAACACCACACTCCTCACCACTTTTGGGTCTCCAGAGAAGCACTATTCTTAGTTATAAATCAGTATTGGTTTGTTGGATCTGCTCTAAAAAGAAACTTTCACATTCTCTGTGAAGTCCCAGGTGAAGATTATGGGTGGCTACAGAAGCGCTTCCCGAGAACTTGCTAATGAGGGAAATAAGGCAGTCCCAATAAAACATATTAAATAAAAATGCATATGGGAAGGGGAATGGGAGGCTTTCCTAGAACCAGGGTGTAATCTTTATGTACACGCCTAATATGATGTGTCAGTTGGGGTTTAACCACAGGCAGGATGATCTGGGACTGCTTAGGGCAGCACAACGCATCTGGGGAGCGTGAGCAGGTTGGACACCCTGGAGGTGGTCTCTGCTGAGGAAGGGTGGACATCTACTCCAGTGTCACCACAAGACTTCTGAAGCGTCCTCACAACTGCCACCTCGCACTGTTCAATCCACACTCAACACACGGCCTTCTGCCTGGGAGACAGGAGAGGTCATGCTGTGGTTCGGAATTGTGAACATCCAGCTGTTGGAATATTTTCGACGTGTTTCTAACTGGATAAAGTGACTTGTTTCATGTATACCAGATACATACAATCTTCATAGGTATTGATAAGGCCCATTTATGGCCAGGGGCCCCCCCGCTGCACATTCCCAGCCCAAGCTCTGACAGGACAGGGCTAGCTTCTCTAATTCTAGACACTCAGAACCACCGTCCAATGCTTGAAATGTGCAAAACTTAGACATTTGAGTGAATGATGTACACACAAAGCGAATCCATGCCGAGACTTCCTGACAGCCATTTTAGCTCTCCCCTAAAGATCCCAAATTCTGTCTCCTTGCATATGCCTTTCTGTTTAAACTTCAGCAAAGACTTCTGTTCATTAACATTCTTTATATACGAACTCACAGTGTAACTTCCTTCTAAAAAATTATCTACAGGATAATTGAGTGCTTCCTTTTATCAAACGTATAAACTTCAATGTCCATCATCTCCTTGTTGTCTTGGCTACCAGAAAATTTAAAGGCATATTTACATATAATTGCAATGACTGCTTATCTTCTGATAAAATGTCTCTTTTAAATAATATCTAATCTTTTATTATCTTTAAAACATTTGTTACAGGTATTAAACTACAGAATTTACCCAGTTTAAATATTATCTACTAACTTTCTATATAAGAATTTTGCTTGTCTGAGACATTTTCACCTGTCTCTTTTCTTCACTTTCTCCTAACATTGTTGTAGGGTCAAGTATCCCTAATGAGAAAATCCAAAATTCCAAACACTCTAAAATCTGAAATGTTTCTAGCACCAAGATATTGCTCAAAGGAAATGGTCACTGAATCATTGCAGATTCCAGACTTTCAGGTCAGGGATGCTCAACAGACACTCTTCTGCAAAGAATCCAAAATCCAAAACACTTTTGGTCCTAAGCAATTGGGATGAGATACTCAGCCTGTACCACCATTTCAGATGCTCTGATCACACGACCTCCATCACTTTAATAAACTGCAGAGTGGGAAACAATCTCCTCTAGATTCATTTCAGGATTCCAAGTGGGGCTCTGTAACAAAAGACAGACGAATAGAAGAGCATGCAGATGTGTTTAATATAAGTTGAGCATGACACAAAAGCCCTCACAGGAAATACAAACTCAAAGCAGCAGCAAAACTCCAATGCTTGTACAAGGAATTGGACAGAGAAGTTAATTATGAAAACATGACAAGATCACGAGGCTTGGGCTAGGGCAGAAAATGGCAGAATGGGAACAAGGAAGGTAAGGGTTTAGCAAATTTTGTAGATTATCTTTTGCCTCAGTGATAAAAATGTTATTTTCCTCCTGGTATGGGGAGGACATCTTCCATATGGGAGTTTTATCACCTGCTTTTAGGAAAAAAAGGTCAGAGCACTCTTCTTGCACCACTCTTCTTTGCCTTACCTCAAAATAATTCTTTATGCCAAAACAGCATATTTTGAGGGAGGCATTTTCTGCCACCCTTTGACAGGTGTACTGTCTCTGGTGGGGACGGTATCGTGTGATGTCCCTCGTCTCCTCCCCTTGTAAAATAAAGACATCAACACCCATTTCCCCTCAGGTCTCTTGCCAGCCTTTCTTCAGTCTTCCAGCTTTCATCACCTGACTTCTTATGTGGTCAAGGTTGATACTTAAGCTCAGCACCATAATCAGTGTTGATGTGCTTTTTCTATGGGACTGACTCTAAGACAGTAGGTCACTGCTTTCACTGAAGAGCACAGGAGTCTGTTTTGAAAGCATTCTTTCTGCACTGTTTTTTGTCTTCATGGAGCTCCTGTTTCTCTTCCTTTCCTTTCACAACAGGCATTTTCATTTCCTCTGGTCCAGCAGCACCGGGCTGGAAGTCAGTTTCTGGGACCTCTTTCTACAGCCGCACTGCATGGCTGAATAACTACTTGTTGACGTTTATGTGGAACATGAGGGCTTTGACCTTTTGGAAAGTCATCACCCCAGAAGATCTCTTATTTAGGCATTTTCAGGAGGACTTCAAAGGAACTATGTCTTCATTCACAGAACTCAACATCAGCTTCATGAAAATATGAAGTTAAGGCATTCAATATGGGAAGGGGAAAAAACCTTAGTGTTAGAACAAAAGTAAATTTCTAAATATGTAGGAAGAACATTTTTAGAATCTAGGAAATATATATATATATTTAAAATACTAGCAAAATAAAAAACTAAAGTTGGTATGACAGGAACAAACAAAACACAACGTAATGAAAAGTGTGTACTGTATTCAACACAAATATGGTAATACTTCTAAATTTCTAGGTAGCAAAAGAAAACTCAAACACAGGCTAAACAGACATGCCTCCTTAGTCAATATAGTTTATGTAGGCTTAAACCATGTAGGCAGCTTCTTTCTAGCAAATTCACCTGTCAACTGAACACTGTCTTATGTAAGAAACTATTCTAGGCATCAGGAACACAGTGGGAGAACCAGATGTTGTGTACAAGGACGTGCCATCCAGAGGAGGCAGATATGAGGCAACAATCACATACTTTGCACAGGTGTCTTGTGAGCAGGGAGGAGCCAGCACCTAACTCTGCCTAGATTATGTTAAGGCTGAGCTTCGAAGAATAAGGATTTTTTTTAGGAAAGGAAGGGATGGCATTGCAGACAGAAGGAACAGCTTGAGAGTGTGTGGCCATGTGGCTTGTATGAATGGTGTGAGGAGGGCAGAAGAGGCCGGAGTCAGAAAAGAATCACACCAGACAGGCCTTATATGTCTCAGGAGGACTTATAAATTGAATTCTAAAATAACTGAAAGCACTTCACAGTAGAGCAAAGAAATAAACAGACGTGCATTTTAAATGTTGAGAAAAGACCAAAAGGAGTCAGGGCTTGGCAGAAAGCCAATAAGAAAGCTCAAGAATCAGAGTGCATGAGTCGGCTTGGGCTGCCATAACAAAACAGACCACATGGCTTACACAGTAGACACTTATTTTCTCACAGATTGGAGGTGGCAGCCCACACTTGCCCTGCTGGCGTGTAGCCAACTCCTCAGTGCATCCTTCCACCTCTTCTCTGCAAGGATACCTCACAGGTCTCTTCCCCCTCCAGCCATATTGAATTAGGGCTCTGCCCAATAGCCTCCTGTTACCTTAATTACCTTTATAAAGGCCCTAGCTCCAAATATAGTCATATTCAACATATGAGTTTTCGGGGGGACATGATTCAGTCCATAACGTAGCAAGTGGCAATAAGAATGGAGAAGAGGGAACACAGGAAAAGACAGGAAGTAGAGATTAACATGACTCAACTATGCAAGAGATGAGAAGGACCGCCTGGGTTTTTGATTTAGGAAATCTGGTCTGTGCTGGTGCTATTTGTCAAGAAAATTAATACAGAAGGCGGCTTAGCATGCCTAGAAGAAAAATAAGGATTTCAAATGTCAACATGTTGCAACTGAAGCAGTAATTTCTAATTAAAAGGTATATAAAGGCTCAGTGCTTAGGAAAAAGTAGCATGAATGGAAGCCAAGGGCATGAGAATCTCCACAAAGATGGCGTAAAATAAGAATGAAAGGGATGAATGTCTGGTTGGGTAGCAAAGGGGCAGTTGCAGAGGCAGAAGCCAAATGCAAAAGCTGCGCAGGTTGATCAAGAGAAGCTAAGAAGCAGAACACAGAAAAGTGGCACAAGAGTTAAGGGAGCAAAGGACTGAGTTGGACATGGTTGTTAAATCCTAAATATTTTTCAGAAACTTGATGATTTTACTTCAAGGATCACGATATATACTTTTTCATGAGTTCTAACTTGCTTATGTTCGTAAACTAGAATGTCATTTGTGCTTATTTCTCATTATCCAGAATGCAGTCAAATACCCTATTGATACTATATAGTTTTCACTGTATATATCTTTTGCAAATTTCAAATCTTTAAAATGAAAAAATATCTATAAAGCCAAAATAGATGCTATATATATCTCGAACTGACCAGTAAATTTTTTTTTTCAGGACTAATTACTGTAGACAGTATCCCCATTATTTATGCTGGAATATAACTTTTAAGGTCAGCTATAAAACAAAAGCTACCATCAGCAATATAGATGCCCTAAATGCCAAAAAGGTGGTAAGATATCAAATGGACTAACAGTTGGGCAATGTGACACATCTTGGAATGCTGTGGTCTCAGAGCCTAAGGGGTTTGAAATTTTTCATGAAACTTACTTGAGTGGCACTAATGATTTTGTGCAGAAAACTGAAGACAAGCTGCATATGGGAGTATCATTTATTTGTCAGCTATACTGTAAATATTGTTAAGGAATCAGATATAGATGCTTTAGAATTCCACATTACTCTGGAGAAGCTAAGGCACAGATACAAGTGATTTATCATGTTTTTAAAAAGCCACAAATGGAAATATTAATTCTGGGAGATTTTTAATCTATTTAACACTATTATACATTACAGAAAAAAATTTTCCCATAAACATTCTCTCACAAAGCTAGTAGTTTTATATTTACATAGTACTGTAGCAATTTTGAATGTTTATCTATGATACAATAATATTACTTCAGAAAACATAAAAAATATATTTTTAATAGCCATGCTCCCATTTTTGATGAAAGCGAGTCAGTTCACTGAATGTTATTTAACACCGTTAAAATGCACAGCAGGCCACATGGGCTTTGTCAAGGTAGAGGCAGAAGGCATCAGACAGAGTAGACGGAGGGCTCGTCATCCTCACTCACATCCGAATCCTCATCCACACCTTCAATGACCGACTTCTTTCCTTTACAGCAGGACACAATCAATCCAATCAGGAACACCTGCATGTTTAAATAAGCCATGTGTTATTTCTCAAGCACTTGGAATACAATGCTTTAAAGTTCAAAAGCAGTTGTAATACAAATGGACTACTGAAGTACAAAGAGTTTTATACTGTACTCTCAACTTTATAAAGAAGGTCAAATCGTGTCTAGGATGCCTGTACTTACCCCAAGAAAGGCCCAGTTACCAAAATAGTAAGCAGCACTAAAGAACCAGAACTTGTGAAGAAATAGGTATGTCCGGGTAACAGTACATTGATCTATAAAAGCAAACAAAAGACTATGGTGAGATGGTTTCTTTCTTCAAATTGAGATTAATACTTCACCTAAAAGGTCATTAACCAAAGCTGATGACCAAGATCATATAGCTAAGTATTAAAGATGGAATTGAAAAGTCTCTCAAAAGCCCACTCTTTCAATCACCTTAATATAGTGTTAAAATTGCCAACTAGTATGACATTTAAAAAAAAATGAATGCCACCAATGCAATCCAGATTTTAGGTATAAAAACTTATATTGGCTAGTTCAATTTATTTGAAAAGAAAAAAATCACTGTAACTTGGAGTTTAAGGCATATCCTGAAACAAAATAAAGTTTTCTTGATGAACATCAAGAAAAAAATGAGCCAAGGAATCACATGCGATTAGTATCAAGTTGTACTTGTAGGACCAGAAAGGTATGAGACCTTTCCTTACCCACTGTAAGTTTGACAGGCCAACACACCTGCAACAAAAGACCAGTTAACAAGAAAAAAGCCTCACAAAGTTTTTTTTAACACTAGAGTCTTTGGAAAGGAAGACCCATAGACTCAAGGGAAAACTGTCTATTTTCACACTTAGCCGATGAAGAATGGGCAGCTGTGTATAAATGCGATTGGGCAAAAGGGCATAACCTAATGGTAATAGACTGAGTGGGGACACCCAGTAAGGCCCGCCTGTCCAGATTCTTCTTGGTCTCTCTGTGCAGCATTCCCAATTCCCAGAAATAGGGCAGAACTCCTTGTGGCGTGAGGGTCTTAGGACCTACTATTAGACAAGGTAGGCCAGGGAAATTCTTTGTGACCACCTCCTACACAGAAAAGCCAGGGAAGGTTAGAGTAACATTCTTAGGTTTCTGGCTGGCTTTAGAGAAGAGGCGTTCTACTTTCTATAACCTGTCTTGGGGAAGAGGAATTCTAGTGTCTATGGCCTGCCTTGGGGGAAAAAGAGGAGCAGAAGAAAGAGGGAGGAGAAGGTCAGAAAGAGACTTGGCTTCTGGGGTCTTCTTGCAGTGTGCCCAAGCCATACTCGGTCTAGCATATCCAATACACTCTGGTAAGAAATCAATTCTCAGGATGGTTCACATTTGAGTTTTTTTTTTTTCTTTTTAAGAATGCTATTGAATAGATGGTTTCTTCTAAAGAAACACAAAAACCACCCTTTACTAATAGGCTTCCTGTTTGAACTTCAGATAGCTGGAATTAATATAAATCATATACTTCTCCCCTTCAAATAAAATGCAACTCTTAAGGAGAAGGTGGCAGACTGTATTTGATATTTGTGTCAAGCTCCATACTAGTTTTGTCCAAATACACTATTTCCGTTAGGTTACAAAGTCATCTATACATACTGACAAGTATGTAGTAAATGACGTCTCAGGAAATATTTACTCAAATCATTCAGAAAGGCCTGGGGCAGCACAATACAGCTCACCTTTGAACAACACAGGGGTCAGAGTGTTGACCTCCCATGCTGCCCAACATGCACAGTAACTTTGGACTTCCCCAAAACTTAACGACTGATAACCCAGCATTGACCAGAACATAAACTGTCAATTGATTCGAAATATTTTCTATGTTATATATATATTATATATTGTAACTTATAATTAAGTATGCTAGAGAAAAGAAAATGTTACTAAAAATCAGAAGGAAGAGAAAATGCATATTCATTGAGTGGAAGTAGATCGTCGTGAAGGTCTTCATCTTTTGTCATCTCAATGTTGAAGAGGCTAGGGTGGCAGATGAAGAGGAGGGGCTGGTCTTGCTGTCTCAGGGGTGGCAGAGTCAGAAGTGGAGGAAGTGGAAGAGGAGGCAGCAGGGGCAACTTTTAGTGAAAAAATCTAGTGTAAGTGGACCCACACATCTCAAGCTCATGTTGTTCAAGGGTCAAATGTATGAGGCATTGAGTAAAAGATTACATCTGCTGCAGCTAACAGAGTATACAACCTCACAAATTTCAGAAGGCCTTTAACTCTTTACAGAAGAAAAATCTTGTCTTACAAGGCAACTTCTTTTAGCCCATCACAAAAGAGATTACAATTTCTGCATATTTTATCCAAAATGGACAATGGCAAAAAATCCTACATGCAACTAGAAGACCAAGATCACATCCTATTGCTAATTAAGAGAATATACCTTGAATTTATATTTTTATGAGCTCTCTTCTCAGCTTTAATAAGTACATGCTATTTTCTCTTAAAACATGAAATTGAGCTGAGGGCTTTGTAGTCCAGTTTATTACATAAGGGATCTAATATACTTTTTTTGCCTGTCACATGGTTTTCTGAAAATAGCATTTAAGTTATATTTTATCAAAATACAAGACCTGTTATGTAAAGCTTCAGATATGTTATGTAAAGATTCAGATAATCCACATTTTATCTACTCGAATCCCTTCCACCGTGCTTGTACATTTACTTCTGAATTGCTCAGTACCAAGTTGAACAAAGCTGCCTCTTCTCTGGCAGGCAAATATGCAGCTTAAAGCAGAAGCAGACTCCTCCTTTCAGGTGCAAGGACCACCCATCTAATTCCTATCTACTGGTCCTCCAAGGGCATCCTTCACATTCCGTATTTTATGCACAGAAACGTCTAGAAGGAATATTCACAGTTCTCTAATAAAACCCAAAAACCTCTGAACAGCAGGTGCTAAACAAATGCTCTGTTTCCCCTGGATTGAGCATCCAATATCAGGGGTCCAACTAAGTGAAGGAGCTCAACCCCACAGAGAAAACTGCTGGGCAGGAAATGTCCCTGTCTTTTACCTTGTGCTCCTGCCACATTTTATTCTCACTTCTGTTATGGAACTTTCTTCATAGTAATCTGCTATTCAATTGTCATTTTTTTCAGAAATAAACCTGAATATTCTAAAGTACCCAGAGTACTCAAATTCATTCATATTCAACATGACTATTTGTTGAAGTAAAATAAAAGTAAAAAGAGGCGATATTTTATTTAAAATTCACTAAATGATATACTTTCTAATATTTTTCATCAAAATATGACAAGATTCTCAGGATGCCAAAAGAAGATACTTGAATACATCCTGAAAATGGAAGTATGATGGAAACACCCAACACGGCAGAGGAAGAGCCCAAGCTCTGGATCCAACAGACCTGACCAGGGAGCATCACGCAGTCACATCTCTGCATGCGTACAGGCAAATCTGCCCCATGGAGCCTTGCACTTGTCGAATGGGGATATCTCCATTTTTGCTTGCTGGAGCATTGTGAGACGTGTGAGGCATCTCAAAAGCCCCATGCAAAGTAGCAGCTCGTGCTCACTTTCTTTTTCTCCCTTTTTCCTCTGGGAGGTATAACAGAACCCACGATAAAGAACAACTCCACAGAGCTGCTCACATGGTTTCAAGATAAACAATTAGTCTTAAGATTTTAGAACTCATGCCCGATAGCAGGAAATAATTGTTTAGCCATTAGCATCATGCCTACTCTGTGAATGTTCATTATTTTCTAGTCTCTAGAGTTAAAACAGGCATAAATGGACTTAGCAAAATTCAAATGTGTATAATCAGTATCAAGATGTACTGTTAAATCATAATATACCTTTACATAAAAATAACTAATTTGAATGTTCCAAAAATGAAGAGAGAAATAGGCTGGGACCTATGCAAAAAATGTCTGCTCACAATTACTTAAAAAAAAAAAGAACAGTAGCTTTCATGGTTTAAGTATTCCATGAACTCCAATGTACAAGGATAGCCTTGTTTAAAAAACTCAATCCTCTCAATATTGCAAACACTCTAAACTTACAAAATAAAAGTTCTATTACTCATTTCCATACTTATAGATATTTTGGGAGTCAGAACTTGACTGAATTAGAAATTTCAGGGCCAGAACAGGGATTACAAAACAGAGGCTGAGCTGGCAGAAGCAAGATAAATCAAATCACTCTTCTCCAGAGGTCTAATAATCCATGCAGTGGCATTTTAAATTGGCTTGTGCTCTGACTTTTGCCCACTACCAAACGATACCTTAAATATTTTTCCTATTACTTTATTTTACATGTTTACCATTTTTAAAGGTCATGGACTTTGGCACAAGCCTTCTAAACTACTAAAAGGGTACGTTGGCTCTGCTTTGCTGTTGAAAATGATACTGGACTAAAAATAACACATACGAGTACATAACAACTCCTTATAGTTGTCTTCATAAGTATGTCATATATCACTGTATTTATATTTACATCCTGGGGCACAACTCGCAGAGGCATCTCTGTTAATGAACTCCAGACACACGCATCACATTCAAGTGATGACCCACACTGAACAGACAGGGAGCATTCCTCTCCCCATCTGCTGTCGTCCAGCCGCTCAGCTCAATCACACACATCCTGGAGACTTACAGATGCCTTTCTGCGGTTATCTGACTAAGAAGATTACAATAAATATCTTGAACTTTATTTGACCTTCAAAGTAAATTTAAATTTTTAGATGTTCCATTTAGCAATTGTGTTCTAAAACCGGAAGAATTCAGGAGACTTCTGTTGTCCCTCAAAAGGACATATAAAGTGGACTAAAGATTAAGCTTCTAATTAAAGATTAAATGCTAACAATGAGAACAAAAAATAGGGGGCTCAGATCATTTTTACTGTTCTGATTATAGAGCGGCTATCCAAAAAACATCGCAACTGTAAAAGCCACAAAAGGCATTTTGTGTACATGAATAAATTGAAAGGTTTTGTAACTGCTACTGCCCCCTTCCTCCAGCTCATCTCACAGACCATCAAACAGATACATGACTACACCATTTTCAATTAAATCAGTTTGTCATTTAACAGTAGTCTTTATTGATTTACTTAATGAATTTTATATTATCTGTTTCTTGTTTTCTTTTAGACCACCTGTTTTGTCATTTTCAACGTATGCTGATTGCCACTAAGAGAACTTTGATTATAAATTAGGATAAATAGCACCTTTTACTTTACATATGTTTAAAAACATTTAGTGTCGATATAAGCCATAACTGAGTCATGCTAAACTTT